CACAAGACGGTCGAGCATGGAACATGCAGTGTAGTTTGGGTTCTGCACGATGGCATGATGATCATGTGTATGCGCTGTATAAGCTCGCGGCCAACTTGGAAGAGCCATTCAGGTCCAGAGCGCGTGGTCGTTTGGCAAAGGTTCTGCAGTTTCGGCGTCAGGATGTTCCCAGAAGAAATCAACCTCTGGTTGTGCCGTTTCTTGCGCATTCAAAGTTCCCGGCATTTGTCGTCGCGTGGTTGAGGGATGTAAGGCACAAGTTTCAGAATGTGTTGCTGCCATTCCATTTGCCATCCAAGACGGTGGTGGAAGGAAGTCATCAATGCGTGGGCAAGATGTTGTTCTCCTTCAAAGAGTGGTTCAAAAGGTTCCAGTCGTCTCCTGGGGAATCGTTTTGCAAGTGCAAAGAGGTCTTGAGCCAGCATCCAGAACTGCAGACCGTTGGCGGGCATGTTGCATCTCCGGCTGAGCGATTGTCCATGTCATCACATTTGAAGAAGTTGGTCGGATATTCGGCCAAAACCATGGTGTTTCCCAGCAAACATGTGTTCCTTGGCATGACGCGCAAGCTGGTACAGAAATGGGCACGCATTCACAGATTCCCGGTTCATCAAGTCGTTCATGATTGGGAAAGCTTCGTTGAGGAGCAATGGCCAATGCATTTGAGAGCTGTGTCTCATCGTTTTACATTTAAAGATGTGTGCCGAGTGAAACAACATCTCCATCGTCTTGTATGTCACAGTCGCGATCATGCGTACGAACAGGTCATGGTGTATTGCCCGGATTTGTTTCGGAAAGGGGTGCTTGCCACGTTCGAAGATACCGATGTGTATGAAGAGCTTCCCTTCCTTCCGCAAGTTTATCGTCAGACCGATGCAAAGCAGATTCCTGCCAGCTTGTTGCGAAGACATCCATGGGGTTTCAGGTTGACGGCACCGATTCCTCATGCATTTGTTTTCTTGAAGAAGAAAAAGGACTACCAGTCGGCTAGGAGCATCATCTCGTATCGCATGTCGATGTTGGCACCAGCATTGAAGGTTGCATCACTTGTTCTATGTGAAGTCACAAAAGAGGTTTTTCCAGAAACCTTTGCGCGACTGAGTTTGAGCAGGTTGTGGCCAAGCTTGCATGGGTACCTGCGAGAAGTTGTCATTCCATGGCGTGATGTCACTGAGTTCGAAGTGGTTTGTGACGATTTGGTTGGGTTTTTCAACTCGTTACCAGTGGAACGCATCCAGCAGGCAGTAGAGCTTGTCTTTTTGCAGTATTTCCAGAACCGAGCGTGCAATCATCCGGATGCTTTCATGTTCACGGTGCATGATCAACAAAAATTCTCAGAAGGCCGAGTCTTGCGAGGCAAGGCACGAGTGTTTCGGAGTGCGGTGATGCGGCAGATTTCTGCAGGAGACGTGAAACAGCTTGTGGCACTCTCTTTCCTTTTCGCCAAATTCACCATCATGGGCCGATGTTTCCGGCAAATACGAGGTTCCCCTATTGGGAATCAAATAAGCCCTGCACTGTGCGATTTGACCGTGAGTGTTGAGGAAGCGATGTGGGCTGCAAGCTTTGATGTTGCAAAACACTCCTGGAAGGCCATGTGTTGGTTTGGGAGGTATGTGGACAACCGTTTCCTGGTGTTTCCAAGGGGTTTCCTGCAAAGTCCTGCATTCCAGTCTCTGGTGAGTCCGATGTTCTATCGTGATCCCGTCATCCTCGAGGCATGCGATGCTGGTGATTTGTTGGGATGCATGGTGGATATTGAAGCTGGGACAGTGGAGTTTCGTATTCCGAATGAAAGCTGGCAGTATCGACCGATCAACAGTGCAGGATCTCGGAGGTTGAACTTGGCAGGCTTTCGATCGCGGTCATGCCTCATCAAACGGCAGGCTTTTCCGAAGAGTGTGGTTAGAAGACAGTTGAAGGAGTTAACTGACATGTACATGTGTTTCGGTTTCACTCGCGATGATCTCCAGCATGCATGAATGAGAACATGTGCCGGCTCGCGTAGCTTTTGTGTGTTGCATGCCCTGGTGCGAAGGGTACTACATGGACTTGCTCGCAAAGTGTTGTTTGATGTTATTGATGCTGTTGAAATCGCTCGTTCAAGCCGATCGTCGTCGTGTTGCGTATTGTCGAATTAATCACAAAGAAAAGGCTTCTCCGCAGGGGGCACCTGGGGGAAGGATGGGGCAGGTGCCAACGAAGACACCCATCCTGACCTGTGACATAGGAGTGGGACGCCACTCCTACGTACCTGCGCATGTTTATGAGATTGCAAGGTCATGTTAGTCCGTGAACCATCGACTGAGATTGCGACGTCAGTGATTCCGTGAACCATCGATTGAGATTACCACGTCAGTGATTCCATGAACCATCGATTGGCGTTGTGATGTGAATTTCGCGATTTCCATGTCAACTTGACTCCAACTCAAGTGTGTGTCTCTATGTTTGTGTGTGTGTGCGTGTGCGTGTGCGTGTGCGTGTGTGCGTGTGCGTGTGCGTGTGCGTGTGCGTGTGCGTGTGCGTGTGCGTGTGTGTGCGTGTGGTGTGTGTGGTGTGGGTGTGGGTGTGGGTGTGGGTGTGGGTGTGGGTGTGGGTGTGGGTGTGGGTGTGGGTGTGGGTGTGGGTGTGTGTGTGTGTGTGTGTGTCTGTGTGTGTGTGTGTGTGTGTCTGTGTCTGTGTGTGTGTCTGTGTGTGTGTCTGTGTGTGTGTGTGTGTCTGTGTGTGTGTGTGTGTCTGTGTGTGTGTCTGTTTGTGTATGTGTCTGTGTGTGTATGTGTCTGTGTGTGTATGTGTCTGTGTGTGTGTATGTGTCTGTGTGTGTGTGCGTGCTAGTGTGAGTGGGCATGTACTTCTTTACTTATTTGTTCGTGCTTGTCTATCTGGCTACGTATTGATTTCTATTAAACATCTGTAATTACCTGTTCGTGTATCTGTCCACATGCTGCCTGCATGCTGACCGACACGAACACTCCTACAAAGAGACCCACACAGACACACTCGTGGGCTGATAACAGTGGTGGTTCGTTCCAAAACTCCTGTTACAATGCGACCGATGATGTGGATGATGCTGCGGCAGAGTGTCAACGACGATTCGATTGAATGAAATTAAAAGTTGCATCCCACCGTACGAACATGACGTACGGAAACGTTCGACGATGTGTCTTCGTTGGCCGATGACCCCAGAGAACCAACCCATGTATGACTACGAAATAGGTAGAGACCCCCGCTTCCAAGAGCGAGGATGGTTCATCTACACAGAGAAATACGAAACTTAAACCGACAGACAGACAGACGAATACACACGCACAGAGGGGCACCCACAGAGAACAGCAGACTTGCAAAGCTCTGATTAACTCCGCTGCTTGTCCACACTCTACTGTACACGTGACATGATGCTGCTGCCACATGCTTGTTCCATGCTTGGCACGATTGATTGTTGAATGGCTTGGCGCAACATGTTGCTGTTGTAGCAGTGTGTGCCAGACAGCAGCCGTAGTACGAATGGATAAACATGATCCATGATGTGACACAGGGTGCTGCCCTGCTTAGACAGATGCAAGAAATGATGAAATGCTACATGAAGTTCTGAACGAAAACACTCTAGCACGCCAGTCCATGGGACAGACAAAATGGCAGGGCGGGCCGGGAAGGGTGTGTTTTGGTTGACCGGAAACCCCTGTGTGGCGGTGGCTTCCGGCACTTATGAATCTGCGCATGAATCCCCTTCCTCCAAACTTTGATCGGAATGTCTGGATGGAGTCAAGCTTTATATTCGGAAATTAGGATCATTAGGGGCCCGGTGCGAAACTGGTAGCAAGGCTCAATCGATTGCTACACAGTTTCACTTAGTCGGCTTGCCAGGTTTATAGCTTACAGCGGCTTACACATCAAAGCTACTTTGAAAACACGCACACGGACGGAGACAGACAGACGGACGGACTGTCGGATGGACGGACCGAACGCTGACGGAAGGACAGACAGACGGACAGAGAGACAGGGACAGACACCGAGACGGAGAAAGCGATAGAGACAGGCAGGCGGCCAGATGGGCAGCCAGGCAGGCAGGCAGACAGACATGACGCACAGACCGGACAGGCACAGACAGAGAGACGGGACAGGATAGGATGGGACATGAACGGGACGGCACGATCTCTTGGTTGATGCGCGAGTCTGTCACACTGCTCGAGCACCTGCACTTGTTGAGCGTAATGGGGAGCACGTCCTGCCAGGTCTGGCAACCGACTCGAAGGGACCGGTGCTGTGCGGGAATCTTGTGAACAGCATTCTATGTGCTTTGCTGGCCAGGGAACTGTGCACTTGGACTGGCTGCAAATCCAACATCTTCCTCAGTAACAGAAAAGTAGCACGGCTTTCTCTGCAATCCTGACTTGCCCTTCGCTTCTGCAGCAAGCTGCCCGACAGCATGCACTTGTCTTGGCCGGCGAGCATCGAAAGCAGCATCGGATTAGGAGGCTCGACGCCCAATGCATCGAGCATTCGGCCTCGTGGCGCACTCCATTTCGGACATCCGGTGGGTTAAGTGGCAACACTTGTCCAATTTTCCCAAACAATGCAGGCCGTACATACAAGCCACTGAACTCCGGTCGAATTGGCCAAGTGGCAATCAGACTTGGACGCCATTCGCCTCGGTATTGGCACATAGGGTTTCCGTTCCGTGCAGCATGTGGCTGTTATCGTGGTTCAGCAGGAGACAAACTCCTTTTGGTCTAAAGTTTCACAAGACTGTGCGATGCACCGTTGTGGCCAAGTCTCTTTGAGGCCTGATGGCGTCTATGTGACACAGTACCGGATGCGGCTGGCCGAAAAAAGCTGCAACGCTGCGGAATTCAAGAGAGAACAATAGACTGGGACCAGTGAAAATGCCGGTTCTGGATTCTTTCGGGTCCAGAACACATTGCAAGAACATACTGGCAGGCTCCCTCTTCGTCCGCTGCTGGCTTGCTGTTAAGAAGGGACGGATACTCCAGAGCACAGGCCTCGCCACAGTGTAGCGCGCTTTCGTCTTGGCCTCCGAATTTGTCCGGGTTCGGGTCAATGGGAAGCAGACAATGGATTCATGACAACCTCCGGAACCTGTCAAGGTCTTGCACCCGTGCACATGGAATGCAAGCCGGATGCTGTGCAGCAAATTCAAGCCACCCCCCGCAATGAGAAACTACCCTCTCGTCCTCTCCAGTTTGCAAAGGAAAACTTAGAGGAAACGTCCCACATCGGCCGTGTTTTGAGACTGATATGTAGCATATCCGTAAACCGAACAGAACGGATACGTAGAAGCAATCTTAACACCCAACATACCAAACCTCGAAAACTCGAAGAGAAGAGGAGACCCGAAGATATCCTGCCAGCCTGGTTTTGCTTCTTTCGCAAAATTGTAATGTTGCACACGGAGGGCGGTACCTGATTTTTGGCGGAAGTTGTACTCTTGTTCCACGCCGCCCTGGTTGCACAGCTTCGACTGCATGACTGCTACTACGACCATTACGACTACGTCTACTGCGACGACTACGACTACTACCACCCGTACTTCCACTCCTACTCCTGCTCCGCCTCGGCATCTGGCCCCTGCAGAACAACAGCAATAGCAACAATAAGCACCAAAACAGCAGGTGCCCTTCGCCAGCACAAGCAGGGGGCCAGGTGCCTGCAGAACAGCAGCTCTAGCAACAATAAAAATTATACGTTTGCAGGGGGCCAGGTGCCAGCAGAACACAGGGGCCAGGTGCCAGCAGAACAACAGCAATAGTGACGGTAAAACCGAAAACAAATACTAATAAACAGTCTGCTGGGGGGCCAGGTGCCAGCAGAAGCAGGGGCCAGGTGCCAGCAGAACAACAACAATAGCGACACTAAAACCTAAAACAAATGCTAATAACAACAGTCTGTAGGGGGCCAGGTGCCAGCAGAAGCAGGCGGCCAGGTGCCAGCAGAACAACAGCAATAGTGACACTAAAACCCAAAACAAACACTAACAGTCTGCACGCGGCGGTGCCAGCAAAAGCAGGGGGCCAGGTGCCAGCACAACAACAACAAGAATAACGGTGATAGTGACACCCAGTACAGATAACAAAATGACATAATAGAATGCAGAATGTGTCAAGCAACTGTCGAAAATAGCACATAATAAACACAACAAACATGTAGACCAAACAACGAGGAAATTGAAAAACATGGATAACATTGCACACGAAAACAAAAAACACACACATTGGCCCAAAGGATGCTGTCGAAGTCGAAACCACTTGGCATGTCATGTAAACTCAAACTTATCAAGACTTAAAGCTGGTCCATTCCAAAGTCCAAGGCAGGCACAGCTGTACTGTAACATTTTGCCCCGGATCGTCACAAGGAACATTGCACATCCAAGATCAGGAGTGCAGAAACATCCACACTCACAACTATCCAATTCAACAAGACATGTTGGCTCACTCACAAGTCAGGCTCAGCTAGGACAGCAAGGGCATAGGGAATCATTCCGACATCACATCTCACATGGAGGCTTGACCATTGAATGGCACTCCGCCCTGACATGGGCTCCCCAAACTGGCACTTGGCCCCCGCTGGCACTTGGCCCCTGAGTCTTAGCTAGGACTGCATGGGCAGGAGTCTCATTCCCAGAGCAGCCAGAGCCCTGACCAATGGCGCTCAGGGCGGCTTTGACCACAGGCACTTGGCCCTTCATTCTCAGCTAGGGCATCCAGAAAGGAGATCCATTCTCGAAGACTTTGTCGAACCTTCAAGAACTTCCGTTCCCAAACTGTCGAACAGAAACGATTCTGGCACAGGGGGTGGGTCCAGTGGGATGTTTGATTCAAGCATGATGGACAGGTAGAAGTCGATAGCCTGGAAACCAGGAGAGCTTCTGCTTGTTTGGATAACTTTGCACCTCTTGCACACTCGCCTCGTCTCGTCCTCCATGCTCAAGGTCTTATCTTTTTTGTTGGACTCCGCTGACAGTTGGGCCCCGCCGGAACTGCTCAAGGTCTTATCTTACTCTCTGGACTCCGCTGACACTTGGTCCGCGCCGGAACTGCCACAATCAGAAGAACCATGGTTGTTCCCTGGTCTGCCTTTGCCTCATCCAGCTGCCACGGGGTGAACTGTTTTATGTCCTCAGCCACTTGGCATTGACCGCCACAGAAGTCATTAGGATGGACATTGCGCAAGCATAACCCATCAAGCCTACAGTGTGAAACTGACTGGAAGTTAGAGCCACAATTCTCAGATCGACTGTCACGTATAAATAATCAATGTCACGTGCACTCATTCCAGTAGCTGATGAACAGCCTGGAATGTTCATTCAGAATGCACTCACCAGCTAAGCTATTTTGTTGCCGGATTATCCCCAGATGCCGGCACTGCTCAAGTCAAGCACTCATGGGGGGCTGTCATTCCAATAATCCAATCTTTCACCTGCTGCTCAAACATTTTGGTGACGACAGACTTGTTGTGATGCGGACTTTTGTTTGCCCATACGCCTCAGCTGTCAGACAGGCCAAGTATCAGATGATGAGACTAGTATATTTAGTCATTAGTGCACGTATCAGACAGAAAGCAGTACTGAATCTTTCCAACTGACCGTCTTTGGTTGAACGCACTCTCATAACCCAGATTTTCTCCTCTCGGCCATTATTATGCACTGGGTCGAGCTTGTACTGGCCAGCAACCTCCCCACAGTCTGATTGTCGGCACTGAACATCTATCCATGAAAGTCTCCAATTTCGAGGAGGATGTCGATTCTCTGCAGCGGCACGAGGTCCAGCATGCCGATCACCATTTACGGGAGCGTCTGCTGGAACTGCTTGGGGCTGTGCAGCTGCAGCAACAGACTCTCCAGGCAGCTCTCCACCAGGCCCAGGTGCAGCTGCAGCAACAAGGTCTGCAGGCAGCTCTGCAGCAGGCCCACGTTCAACCTGCATAGGGACAAGCTCTTCCACAAGTTTCTAGCACCTGGCCCCTGGATCCTGTCCTGGAAGTTCCTCATCTCGGCGCCTGGGCAACATACGTGGTCGAATGTTGGGCTTTGCTTCTGCCTTCCCTGTTGCTGTCCCTTTTCTCTTCCCTTTTGCCTTGGCCTGGGCCTTGGCTTTTGCCTTCTGTAAGGCTTTGATGGTCTCCCAAACTTCATGCGTCCTCTTGATACGGCGTTTTCGGACAGCATCCGAAACCACGCTGACATCCGCCTTGTCTTGATCAAACATGTCTCCGAAAACCAGTTAATCAAGAAAGTCACCGACTATGTCTTCTTCATCATCTTCCTCCACGGTCTTTGACCTTGAATACACGTCTTTGATGTGCGCAATGAAATTTTCATCTCCAGCTGCTGCTTGAGAAGCTATCAAGGTCATGAGCTCTGGTCGCTTAGTTTTGTACTGCCGGAAACGAGTCTTCTTGTCTCCTTCTAACTGCATGGTGCCTCCAGACATGAAATGCTGTGCGAGACGTGCACAGTCTGCCACTGTCTTGCATGCTGATGACATGTGCCTGCAGCGGCCAACAAATCATATAGAATAAACTGCTGATCATGTTTACAAACAATGTGTAGGAACCCAAAGGTTGCATGTAGACTAAGTTCAGTTAGCAAATAATTGTTGTAACGAAGCCACCTTGGTTGTCGAAGGAGCCACATGAAAAGCGGTTCTGGCATATCACGACAAAGTCGAAAACAGAGGATGCCCTGCCACTGGAGTGGCTTCACATCAAATATCTCCCAATATTGCGGTTGATAGATGTGGACCCAACAGCAAACTGCTTCACAGTCATGGCACTTGGAGGGCCTCCCCTACCGGTTGGAAGCGAATCGCAAGTCACAACACTGCTGGACCGCCCCACCCGGCACCTTAGCCCATGTGTCCGGATGTCATATGCCACAGCCCTGGCACGTTGGCCAGCATACGGTGTGCACGGACTGATCGGCTGTCGAGTCCGTGTGGGTAAGGCATTTCATGCTGAACTCAGGCCACGGCTCGAGGCAAACGTCTTCTAGCACCAATGCAGTTTCCGATTGGTAAGGCGTTGGCTACCCCTGCTCGTGCTGCTGCTGCAGCTGTTGCTACCGGTGTTGCTACAGCTGTTGCTGCTGCTGGTTCTGCTGCTGGTTCTGCTGCAGTTGCTGTTACTGCTGCTAATTTTACTGCTGCACTATTTGCCACTGCTACTGCCCTCCGCCACGACTACCGCCACTGCTACTGCTGCATGCCCTGATGCCAGAATACAGCTGCCCAAACTATCTGTGAGCTCAAACTTGGTGGCATGTCAAGACAGGGTACTGCAAATGCAAGTGTGCAGCAGTTCGGCAGGCCGTTCCCTTGCTGAACATTGAACCACGCCCCATACCATACCCACTAAGACGGACAAGCATGAGCGCCCCACCGTCTCCGTTTCAAGCCCGGAGGCAAGGAGCGGCTTGGAGATCACGCCCTGAAACCAAGGTCCGTGTTGGAGCAGAAGTCTTAAGTGCAGTTTCGAGCATGCTGGAAGAGGTGAGGCAAGGCGTAGGGCTCAGGGCTATGAATCGTCAGCATGTCTACGCTCTTTTGCTCGTGGCTGCTATCTTGCATGTCTCACCGAACCTGGGAATCATCAGCTGGTCAAGTCGTCTCTTCAACTGTCCCGCCTCTCTTTCCAAGATGGAGCAGAAATTGCTGAATTCCTGCAAAAGCTTAAAGATGGGCAAGGGATCTACAACGGCAACGATACCTAAGTGGCCCGGCCTCGGCTAACATCCCCCTTTGAGTACACATGCACGAAACAGATCCCCAATTTCCAAACCCTAAAATGCACAAGAGCCCACAGCTACGCTACAGCAAATCGAAACGCTCAGAGGACTTCGCTCCTCTCGAGCTTCCCTGCCGGAGGGCGCCTCCGAGGCCAGGCGGCAGCAAAGCTTTGAGAATAAAACTTGATCTAATGCAATAAGTTGTTTGAAGCAACACTACAACATAGTATGATATGTTACGGTATAAAGTAATTTGACTGATTTAACATAGTGCTGAATTATACCACACCGCAGAATAGAAGAGAGGAGAATAGAATACACCAGGTTCGGTCACTGGACTAGAAAACGAAGAGAATATAGTAATGCATGCAGCGCAATGGAATAGAACAGAATAGATTGAATAAAAACATATCAGAATAGACTTGAACATAAATGAATATAAAACGAAATTTCATGGTATAATACATTGTAACAGAATCGAAAATATTTTAACAGAACTTAGAGATTGCATGCAAAATACAACATAAATCAACATAATACTGCATAACATAGCAAGAATAGAATAACACGGACCAGTACGATATAACAAAATGTCTATCACAAAATGGCATAACATCTTTCACGTAATGTGAGATCAGACAAGATCATATTAGAGAGTAATTTAGTATACCATACTGGACTGCTCTACGATGCTACACTAGGCTATACTGTGCTATACTGTGCTGTAATGTGCTACACTGCGCTATACTATGATGTACGATACTACAATATGCATTTATATGTGTGTGCGTGTATGTATAATACCTATAGATATACATATAGATAGACACACATATGTATATATGTATACCTGTAAATGTAAATACAGATATAGATATAGGTATTACGTACATACTCTGCAAATTCATGAAATCAGTCCTCACCGCTCGACACAGGTCGAACACTCTTGGGGTCGTGAATCGACCGTGATCCATCAACGAACATCCTGATTCATCCGAACACTTGGCCACGGATGCATCAAAATCATATTGTCATCGAGCAAATGAACAAACCATCAGTCATTCCCCCAGGCCATCACGGTGTCCGACAACATGGGAAGCGTAAGGTTTGCGTACGACAGTTGTTAGAGTTGATGTTGCACAGCTGTGATACGGCTGAACGTAGATGGTAATGTAGAGAGTTGGAGGTTGTGTTGTTTCTGCTGTGCAGGAGCATGATTCGTCACAAGATCCCACAGTGTGTCGTGCGGTGAGCCAGGGTCTGCTAAAAGCCTGGCCACCGAGATCGCACAGTGGCCTTGCAGAGTGCAAGCAGCTTCAGAGCTGCCTGGCAGGAAGCGCTTTGGCCCTGCCTCCGTCGCGGCAAAGCCCACGAGCCACAGCGCATCTACAAGGACCTGCTGCAGCGACTCCTGCGTTGGCTCCGTGAGTTCTTCGGCGGACTCTGGTCTTTGCGGTCCTGGGCCCTCGAGTCCACTAGGATGAGGAACTGCAAGGCTTCTATGAGCCACATCACGGTCAACACGTCCTTCTGGCTGTGTTCGACGGTGCTTTTGCTGATTGACTTTATCTTGTGGTGGCTGGCTAGACTAATATCCTACTTGTAGAGCAAGGCCATATTGTCTGACGCACATTTTTGGCCATGCAGAGGCCTGGAAGCACACTTTGGTCTTCTTCGCTCTCCACGGAACTGAGCTACCTCCTACCTTGTCGAAAACTGCACAGAACAGCAGCCGATTCTTGTGAGGGAGACCAGAGGATGACTGGAATCAACCGGCAGTTCTCTTTTGCGAGCACATGAGATGCATGATGGTCCATGATGGCATAGGAACAGAGAGGACCCTCGGTCGACTTTAGCTTCACGGCGTTAGAGAGCTGATGTCTACCAAGTGCTGGTCGTTTGCCGGCTGATTGGTCACCCTCTGGAACCTGTGCATGACTCCTAACCTGGACAGGCAAAGCTGGCAGCAAGTCGGTCTGGCTGAAAGGCTCCTAACGTGTTTAGCACACCGTCCGTGGAGACGGAATGTGGATAACTGGGCGCTGTCGTGCTTGGCGTCCAAGATGAAGAACTCATCACTGCTAACTGTATGTACACGAGCTGCGACCCTGTTGCCACAACCCGAAGCAGCTTGTCAACAGCCCTCATGATCGGCATGCTGCGCAATTCAGCGTGCTGCATAAAGGGTCTCCTACAAAGCGCGACCACAGCGAGCGAAGGACCACTTACCTCCTCTCACCACGAAGTCGACTTGCGACTCGTCTGGCCTGGCTACCAGTGCCCTGGCATGATCGGGTAATACGAGGTTCCCACAGCTTTCAGATAATCTCATGCTCAACCTCTAATTCTGATAAGTGGAATAGCACTGTTCTTGTCCAGCAAGCACGCTTAGAGAGTCTACTATGTTTTCAACAGAGTCGAGTTTGGGTCACTCTTACACTCTTACCCCACCTCCAAGAGAGCGCCTCGCATACACCCGGCCAACAGTTGAGGCCTGCATGCCATTCAGTCAGCCAGCTGCAGGATAGCCACCACTGGACTCTCCCTGACAGGATTTGAAGTTTGATGTACACTCGACTCCCACAAGTTCAGGTGCAGCCTTCTGAATTCTGATAAGAGCTGCCACTCTTTAGCCTGCATCCCTGGGCTTGTTCTATGCTTCTCCCTATTGCGGGCTGCCGGCTGACGGTGCTGATGGTTGTTGTGCTACGGGCATGTGAGTGAAAAGCCAGTACATGCGGCTCCAGAAAAACAGTTTGTGGCAGATAGACAGGGGCATGATAGGCGCTCTATTGTTCGAGGGAAGACGGGAACCAGAAACTCGCGGGACAGGCATGTGACAGAGCAGATGCACGAAAGGCTCCAACAGAGCCTGCCAGCAAAGCTTTCGTCAGAGCTAGGATGGTTTCGGAAATATGTAAGGGTCTTTCTTCCCATGATCACACACATGCGCATCACGCATCATCGCACACATCATCGGCGGCTGCCTCTGCATTCGAGTTCCTCTCAGGAGGCGGCTCCTCGCACGACCCGGGCCGCAGCTAGGAGCTTTCTGCCATCTCAATCTCTGTCTCTTTCCCAGGTTTACACTCTGCAACTCCAAACTTCCATGGCGTCCTCTGTATCTTCGTCCGAATCGGGGGCAGTGTGCGCCATGTGGCCGAGGTTGGGATTCAGCATGCGGAAGAGGCTTTGAATGCCTTGGAAGGCTAACAGCAAGAAACTTGCACCAGACGGTGCTGCACAGTCGCTTCTCGCCTCTCCACACCCCTTCAGACATTATACTTCCTGAGCCTCAGACGACTGCGCATTGCATCGTCGCTCTCCTTGTCAAGGAGCATTTGCTGAGAAAAAAGGCGACGCATCAAGAACAGAACTGTCGCTACCCTCTGTTTTATGCTACTAACCATCACTTCGAGACCCGTTGCTCGCAAGCCTTCACCGAATCGTTTCCTACGAAGATTCCATGTGACTGCTTGCGCTACATCGGAGATAAGTTCACGTAACTGCAAGTTTCTGCAGGTCACAGACTTATGAATCAAAAAGGCGTCCTGCGCCTCAAGGTCTCTCTGCTGCCTCGCGAACATGGCCAGCGTCCGAAGCACCTGCTGAAGTGGCTTGCAACAAAATGACTGGGAAAAACGTGCGACGCTCCTGACTCTTACACCGGAGCAAGGGATTCCGAGCTTGTTGGGTACATACACCTGGTCCTCTGTTGAAGCTAAGTAGTGACACTGTCACCACAACATATGCTCAGCAAAGTTGCTGCCGTGCCCCGACCTAACACATCTTCTACTCGCCCCGCTGAGTGGCCTGTAATCTGGCAGAGTCTTCGTCGTAGGTCCCCTGCTGCAGCACTGGCTTCATGGCATGGCTTCAAGGTTGCAGGTTTAGATTTACGGAACATTACACGCGCCACTGATGCAAGTGTTTCTGTATTTCGCTCTGCAATGGCTGAAGCTGGCCGCCGCCGTTGCGCGAAGCAAAGCAGCCTCTGGAAGACATGTGGCAAGGTGAAGATCCGCCTCATCGTCCATTGGCTGCTCGTCTGCTCCGTCCAATCTTTCTCGAAAGGGATCCTGGGCGCAGAATTCCGTTCATGACAGCCACCCGTTGATAGGCCGCCAGGCCTCCGTGGCACTGCTGAACCATCGAGGGTGCATGAAACCTTTGGGGCCGAAGAGGAAGAGTGAAAGGAAAAAGTGAAAGAGAAGAAATTCGCACAGTCCGGCACCTGTCCTCTCTCCCTTCCTCCCAGGCCGAGCGGCCAAAGACATGCTTGACAAAGATGTCCCGAGGCACGATGTGGGCCGGTGAATTGGCTCGGGTTGTACTCAGAAGCACCTGCAAGGTTCGGAAAGGCGAGTCCTGTCTGACGGACCCAGACGAAGCCTCACGGACGGCATTTCGGAAGCCCTTGCTGTGCGCAGCCTTAGATCAGCAGCCGGGAAAAGACTTGCGGCGGAATCTTACGTGTCGGTTTCTTCACAGCGTGTGACTGCACGTGACAGTTGCTGTGCGCTTCCTTCTTTCACACGGGCGGCAGCAGTGCAGCTACACACCGTCACTACCAATCACGCCGCGCCCTGACCGCGAACAGACGCTTCTGAGCAAGATCTACCGAGTTTACTTTTCAACATATGCATGAACACTCCTACATGCCAAGCCACATGCGTGGATGGTGTCCATGGTGGTGACGGCAGCACAAATGACGGCCTGCAAAAGGGTTGCTACAGAATAGCCAGAAGCTGAAGCTGAAGCAGATTGCTTTCCCTGCGACGCGCCTTCTCAGCGGTTCCTCTGATGGCAACAATCGACCGAAGGACACCTGCGCATCTGCTTCTACCCCTCTGCAAAGCTGACAGGATGCTGTAGGGAGTGCAAAACTCCAGTAAGTTCAGTAAGTCACAAGCTGGCCTGTTTTAGGTTCTTGACATCGAAGGTGGTTTCGGACCTCGGGCACAGGTCGGCTTCCATCGCTGCCAGACCACCATTGCTCCATGTCTCCACACTGGCCAAGACTCGTCCGCAGCACCCGGCGGATGTACTGGCCAGAGGACGTCTCGAAGGGACCCACGGCCACCCCGCCAACCTCAGACAATTCACATCGGCAGACAATCTGGCAAAATCGTCCTTTACACAAAGCCCGGGAACTTGTAGCAGTGCCAGCAAGCGCTTTGACTGGCCACCAGCACAGGCTCCAAGGTACATTCGGTCGTAACGAGGGCACATGACCTTGGAAATTGAAGAGGTTGGAACAATGGAGATTCGGAACATACCTTTTCTGATCTGCACAAATCAACCCAGCCCTCACCCCCGGATCTAAGACTTCCACATCATACCTACAGTTGCAAAGTGCTACCATAGGGCCAAGTCCAGGTCGTGCGCATTGACCTGCTGCAGGTCTACCAGGGCAGCGCACCCATGGCAAACTGATGGCAAGCGCCCAACATGCACTCAGCCATTAGCTCCTTCTTCCGACAGGCAAGCGACTCTGCTTGTAGCACGGATCCCACCTCGAAAAACTGAATGTACTCCTTGTTCTGCACACGAAGCATGTCCTGCAGTTGAATCGAGCTAACACATTCTTGTAGAGAGATGTTGGCCCCTAGTTGCCCATCATTGTATGCCCAGAGCACAGAAGTGTCCTGCGCGTGGTCCAGCAGATCAGAGTACAAGTCTACACCTTGTCTGTGCATCAGCTTCTGTAGCGGGATTCGTTGAAATTGAATCTTCACTCTCTTTTGGCACTTTGCCTTCACTTCCACCGCCTTGTAAACATTACCAAACAACCTTTGCCACTGTCTGCTTGTCTGCTCGTGCTCAAGCTAGTCGTGCTGAATTCTTAGTAGCTTCCAGTGCCTATGGATGCACATCGCATCAACGTCGCTCGCAAGGATCGGTCTACACCGAACATGAGGGGCTGAAACCTGAACCCTACCCCTGCAACATTGAAAAGGAATCCCAAGCTCTTCGCTTTCCGGCATCGACTCTACGGGGCAGGGCTTGCTGCCGCAATGCGGGCATCTGCTTGGGTGCGGGAGCATGATTAGAGTTTGAGTCGTGCCAGTACCCCTTGAGCCTACAGAAGGTGTCGCCCTGACGAGTAGCACCACATGACGCAAACTTTGCACCGTCCGACAAAGGGGTGCTTAACAAAGAACCCTGAAGTTGTGTTGCGGAAGGCGCACCGTGGTGGAGGGCGGGACCTGTGATCTCGGAGACGATCGACGACAGGTAACCGGTCCTTAAGCTTCTCGTTGCTTCTGCAACATGATCAGAATCAGCCATGCAGAAGCCTCAAACTTGACAACTTGACCTCGGAGATTCAGTGTGCAGTACGGATGACGAACACATTGACGGTTAGATTGCTCAAATCGCAAACAGATGAAGCCGCATTGACATGAACGAGAACGTGACCTACAAGTCATGCCACAACCAGCGATCTTAAGAAAGAGCTTGAGATTTCGGTAAGCAAAAGACATCTTCTCGATCGTGTGATCATCGCCAAACGTTCTCTCTGTCTACCCCCCCCCCGCTCGGAATGAGTTCGCCAAGGAGCCCTGAGCCCACGTTCAGGAAGGAGAGCCCCGGTGAAAGATCCAGGTTGGCCACGGCTTCTGCGTACAAAGAGGGCTGGGACCTGAACTTCTCAGAGCAACCCGTCTGTGCGATTTATTCCTGCACCTTGTTTTACTTCAGAGTGATTGGCCGAGAGGAAACAAACCCGACAATCACACCAGGCTTCATGCATGCTCAACATTCCAACACTGTGCAAACTTTTTCTGATCTCTTGTGTAGGCATCATATAACACCACTATGAAAGAGCTGGAAACGTGCGGTTGCTATGCCAGCCGAGCAACATGTGAAAGTGCCCAAATCTGACCTCAATGTCGTGAATCGCGAAACGCTTGAATCGCGACCCGCTTGTTTGGATCAGACTTTTGCCGCCCAGCCACAGGGGCGTCATCGTACACCTCCACAGCACGCTGCTGCGGCACTCTTTCTATAGATTCTATATTCTATAGGCTATTATAGGCTGTTGCTTCAAGCTGCAAGCTCTATACACTGTGAGCGACTCATGCATATGTGGTAATAAAGAAAGAACGGCTGGCTGACTGAGCTTGCTCAGTCACCTCCTCCCCTCTGAACCAGATTTGCTGGGACCAGGTCAGTCGCTAGAAGCATGATTTCCCTGCTTATGCAAAGCCGACTTCCAAACTGCAATCTCAGCAGAAACCTGAAACCAACAGCCTCTGGCTAAGAGTCAAGATCGGGGATTCGACAGACCGGGACAGACACTGAGAGCAGAGCGGCTCGCCGGTCAAAATGATGCAAACCCTATCCCTCCGTTACGGTAAAGAATCGACAACTCAACTTTGGCCTCGGATGTGCCCTCCTCAAGGTTCGGCAGGAACTTCCCACGGTCCACGGCACGAAATGCTACCTTTCGCAAGAAGCACTGGGTCCGACTAGCCCGCACGTCGGGAGAGATGCACTGAGCAGGACAAGTGCATGCAGCATCGTTCATGCTACCTTCTATCACAGCGGCCATTTGCTCGCCTCAATGTGCGACTTCGCAATGGCACCGCTTTCGACCAAGTGCGATACCAGCGAATCATTGGTATAACCTGAACGACACAGTTCCGGGGGACCGCAGCTTTTGCAAATCCCGGGCCGGGAACTTCAGCCGGCCTGTCGACCGGTCCAGGAGACGCCGGAACAGCAGCGGCACGGTAATCACGCCTCGACAGCCACTCGTGCCTGTACCATCTTCTACTGTTCCACGCGCAAGCCCGAGAGTGCTGCTAGGTCCCTGGGTTTTTTTCGCCGGGACACGTGGCGCACTCGACCGCCGAGTAGATGCCTCGCATGATGCATCCTTTTTCGAAGCACTTCGCAAGATCTGAACAAAAGCCAACCAGCCCAAAAGAGGGGGGGAGTGCCCCAGTGTCCAGATCCGACAACCCCAGTTTTGCCTTTCGCCGATCGAGCATAATGTCTCCCAAGCAAAAGAAACTCCGAGCGAGTCAGTCGCCTTCGTGACGGAGTCTGTAGCACTCTGTGGGGAAGCAGTGTGAAGCAGCTAAACACAGGTTGAAGTGTAGACAGCTAGAGGTATCATTTTTGAAGCCTTGGCTGACGCTGCAAAATTCCAGCATGGAGCAGGTCCGAGAACACTTCGAAATCCGCTCTGGAAACCCGCCTGTGGAAACCCACCTTGCTACTGCCGGAACACGCCCTGGGAACTTCTGTCGAGGCTGTCGCTGGTGGTGCCCCGCCTCGGAGGGCTCCGAGGGCTCCTCCCTCGTCTCGTCAAGGCCCAGCTCGCTCTCCATGGGCGCCAGATCAGAGTTCGAAGCTGCTTTTAAGCTGCTGCACTGAGCTGCTATCCTGGGTGTCATGTACCTCTGTGTCCGCAACTGTCGGCATGTCATGGCCATCCTTCCTCCCGTGGCGAACATCCGACACATGCAAGACTACTGTACTTTGACCCCGTATGACTAAAGCGCATGGAGGGAACACAGATCTGGCAGACTCTGATCTACCTCGGGGTACTAGTAGCAGCATGTCATTTGAAAGACTGCGTGCCAGAGCGCGGAAATCGTCGCGGGCACAGTGTCAGCGTCGAGTCACAGCAATCCAAACATGAACCTATACTTTCGAGCGATGCTTCATAAAGTGATATCTTGTAGAATACGCAGAGGCTTCAACGACTACTACCGATCCGTGAACAAATTTACATACACCGTGGTGTCATACACCGTAGCAGGCCGATAGAGCAAGCTGCAAGAACATCTAGTTTCTCGCAGCTTCCAGCTACGGCTCCCAGCCCTAGCCCTGTCCTTAGAAGAGATCGGTGACAGCAGCTCTGCCGCGTTTGATGCCTGCTAGTAACCCCATGCTGCCGGCCGTCAGAGGCAGGAAATTCGAATCTGCATCTTTTCTTTCGCAAGGGTACAGTACGCAGGAGCTCATCTGCATCTGTCTCTCTCTCTCTCGCTCGTGGTCGCATCGGGCCTGCATCTGCCCTGCAAGGACAGCTTTCACCACCTTCCGAGCAGAACTGTCAAAACTGGCCTGGGGTGCACTGAACAGAAGTTTAGACGTCATGGCCGCTTCGGCAAACAAGCGAGGACGGCAGCGTCAAACTGCCCAGGGAAAGGCCGCAAGCTCTTACAAAAAACAACATCAAGTCAATGATGCAGACAACAAGCGAACAAGTCTGGGATCCTGAAGTTGCGAAGCTTGCAAGCAGCTTCCGAGACAGCCGCTGTACCCAACCCGACCACCACTGACCACCGCCCCAGAGAGTGAGGGGGAGGGGGGAAGGCGGTCGGCAAACAGCAGCTTGCGCCTCGAGCATTTGGCCGTAAGCGCGCCTGAGATGGGATCTGCAAAGACTGCGAAGATGTCGAAAGCATGCAGTTACAACTTGCCCCGCGGCATCTTGGAGCTTTCTGCTTTCTTCTGAGGCGAGAGCTCGCGGTTTTCGTCCATCTCCACCATGGCTGTGGTACCACAAGGACACACACAGATGAGGAGGTTTGAAGGGCTGCAGGTTGATGGCTGCAGGATGCTGCAGGGTGGGGATGCTGAGGTTGGGTTTGGGTGCTCAGGGCTTGGCATGTCCCGGCGGGCAAGCCAAGTTGCTCTGCCATTAACTGAAGGGACGTGCATGTTGGCTGTGTTAGCAAGGAGACGGGTACAAGAAGTCGTGTGTGGGACCCGGTAACATCTTTTCCTCGGTCTTGCTCTTCGCCATGATTTGATGCACTTCTGTAGCGACATGCAGTCGGATGAATCGCATCGGGACCGCACAAGCAGGGCCGGAAGGGACAAAGCAGCAATTACGCCAAGCTTGCATGGGAGGCCGCATAAAACCGTGGACTCTGGCCATGACGGAGAAGACTGCAGTGAGAACTCAAGAAAGCTCGGGCGTCCTGCTCTTCCGAAGCTATTTAGGGTTTAGGGTTCTGAGTGCTTGCACATCCCAGCTTTGTCACGTGCTGCAGCTCGAGAACTGACGGAACTTGAAAACCAGGAACCAGATGAACAAATGTTTCGACATCTTGTGCGGACTCTTCGGCAGGAAATCTGGCAAAAGCATTCACAGCCTCAACTTGTGGAGACCCACTGCCCAAAACTGTTTGAAATCGGTGACTCGACGCTCTGTAGGCGTTTGTATCCCAAATTATGCAGAAATCTACGAAAAACTTGGCATGCTGGTTTTGTACCAGCAAACTGCCAGGCCAACTTCAGGCCCGCGCCGAAACAGACCAAACTGCATAAACAAGCATCATCACACACTGACAAGCAACATATGTTGAGAAGCAACTTTCATACTCACCGGCTTTCGGACTTGCGGCCAATTAAACTCATTAAATGTGCTTGCCGCAGGGTGACAGGAAGGAAGTGTTTCTCTCTTATTGCCACGTGGAACAGCTTCGCAGCAGCTTTGCAGCTTCGAAGCAGTCCATGGATCTCACGGAGCCCTGGGCCGGAGCGAAGCTAAACCGGAGGACCCCAAAGGGTGTTTGGATCCTTGCGGACGGGGGCACATTATTCTTGCAAGCAGTACCAGGGAGAAAGCTGCCCTGTGCCATCTTTGACCTGCAAGCGCGAGCCTCGTCACTGTCACTCTTGGACTGCGGCCAGGGTCTCCTGGGGCCAACGTCATGCTGCAAGGAGCAGTCTCTGATTTTATGTTTGCAGCCCCCACATGTCAAATTGACCACGACAAGGTCTAACTGGGTGAAACCTGGAATGGCAGCTCGAAACAAGGCGTTCTGGCAATGCCGTCGTGCACTGTGTGTCGAAGTATAGCCTTCTCGTTCTCGAGAATCGTGGGCAAGCTCGCGGCCTGAGTTCAAAACAATGAAGTTCACCATGCCCCTGCACTCTGCTTCTGCGCTACACATCCTGGCACATCCTTACGTCAGCCGGCCACAACAGTCCTACCTCGGGCCTTGTTAAAGCTGGGCCTTGAACATCTAAAAACCGGAACCATCGACAAAAGAAGTGCACAAGGGCCTTGGTTTCGAAGATTGACCAGATCCAGATCATCATCGGTATGCCCGACCTGAAGGCTTCGGGTTACTGCCTGCGAGCTCCTTGCATCCACCCGAAATGCTGACGGGCCGCTTTGCCAAAACGTCGGCCACAGAGTACCCGACGACTTCCAGTCTTCAGGGCACTGCATCTGGTGCACCCGTGCTTCGGGAGTCTAGGCGCTGCACTTGTTGCCTGTACATACATAAAGCCACACCCACTTAATCCGCATCGGCCCTGTGGGTGTCTGAAGGTTCCTTTGCCCCCCTGCCCAGCACGCCTCCCCCCCCACCCTCTGTCGCCCTGCTCCCGGTCCCGGATCTGCTGGGCCGAGGCGGACGGCAAGAAGCGGTAACAATCAGTTTTGCTGAACGAATTCACCATCAAACACCGACAAGAAGCCCTGGTCGTGGGAAGTGAGGTGTTGTTCGTTGGGAAGTGAGGTCTGATGTCTGGGGTGTCGTGCGATGGAAGAGCGACACAAAGTTGCTTCATGATGCGTTTTTGTAGGCAACCTGATGCCCATGATGCTGATGCTCATCCCTGTGTTCAGGCTCGATCATGTGTATGCGAAGATATGTGTGTATATGTATGTATGTATGGATGGATGGATGGATGGATGGATGGATGGATGGATGGATGTATGTATGTATGAATGTGTGTATGTATGTATGTATGTATGTATGTGTGTATGTATGGATTTATGTATGTATGTATGTATGTATGTATGTACGTATGTATGTATGTATGTATGTACGTATGTACGTATGTACGTATGTACGTATGTACGTATGTACGTATGTACGTATGTACGTATGTACGTATGTATGTATGTATGTATGTACCCTAAACCCTAGAGCTGGAAGGACACAAAACGGCACAATTATCTGGATCACCTACAATCGATCACTAATCTCAACTTGCCGAGTGTCCTTTCAGCTCTACCTACTAGGTATTCCGACTGTAGCAAGAAGGAAAAGGGCCCTCAAAAAAAAGAGCCCTAATAGCCCTAAACCACTACCTGGCATGTTCCTGAACTGCTTTAACGAAAGCCCCCTCCTAGAGCCGAAGGACAAGCAAGCACTGGTCCCCAGAACATTACGCAAAATCACAGTATGTCTGCTGTAAGCAAGCAGAAGACCCAAAACTCCCGGGAAAATCTTAACTTTAAGCCCGATAAAACCCTAAACCTGGGATCGTAAGTAAAACCCTATACTGAAGCCTTGCACCGCATAGATGAAAGGAACACAGCCCAACCATGTAGGGGCGTCTGGTGGGCTGAAAAGCCCCCGGCCCGACCCTAAACCCTAACCACCCTAAACCTTAAACTGGTATCTAGGGGCGTCTGGTGGGCTGCAAAGCCCCCGGCCCAACCCTACCCCCAACCCCAGGGTGGCGCAGGTTCAGGTTTTGCAGGTTGGGTCGCATGTTTTAAGGTTCGGGGTAGTGAAGGGTGTGTAGAAGTGTTCGGGTTCGGGGCCTATAGTAGCAGACCCTAAGCCCCAACTTCAGAAACCACCTAATTACAACCCTAAACCCTCCCCTCCGCCCTGCGGCCGTCTGCGGTTGCTGCAGCCTCCGGAGCAGGCTTGGCTGGGTTTCGGGGGCATCGAAAGCATCTGGGTCCAGGGTCTCGAGTTGGAACATTTCATAGAATTGTGGGTTTTAGCAAACAGAGCTCAGGTTTCAGCCATCATTTTGGAAGCTCCATACTGGCAAGGGCGCACACTTTGGCTTACCGGGTGGCAAGTTGAATTGCGATCCTGATTGAAAGAGCTTGACTCCTTAAACCCGGATTTTGCTCAAACCCCGACCCTGTTCATTCATAGCCTCCCTTCCAAGCACCTACATCTTCCCCTCCTAGCCTCCCCAAAACCACCCTCGAAATCCCCAAAACCACCCTCGAAATCCCTCGAAAATCCACCAAAACCCACCAAAACCAGCCCGAAACCACACTTTTAACCAACCCCCCCTTCGGTCAAAAGCCGCAGTTCCGCCTCAGAACCCCCCCAAGAGTCAAACGCAGCCCCCGAGCGCACAACAAAACCCGACCTTGAAACACCTCAACAGCTTCAAAACCCCCCAACATCTCACACCCCAAAACCATCAACCCTCCGAAACCCTTGAAAAACCTTGAAAACCCCCTAGCCCTAACATCCCACAATGGGCCCTGAACCTTCAAAATGGCCCCAAAGGCCACGAAGCCTTGAACCTGGCCGGCCTCGGATTTCTCAACGCCAAACTTTAATAATCACTGTATAAATGCCACAGGCCCAACGGCTCTCCAACGTGGTTCTTATGATTAAATACCCTTTGCATCTGGCCCCCCAAACCAACTCATGTGCTGGGTCGCCCTGCTGGGAAGACTGTAGCCACCTGGCAACAGGGAATGAATTCATCTGAGGAAACAAGCATGTGCCGGCTGCTTGCTGATTGAGAGCCCATGCTGTCAGTGTGCAATGCTTAGCTGATCTTTCTCAAGCCGCATCTGGCCCCTGTTGGACGCTCACACAGACGCACACGCAAACTAGGTGAGCTTGTAGCAACGGCCCCCTTGCAAGCGGCGGGGCTTGGTCAGCAGGAATCTCGGCTTCCCAGGGGTCAAGGAGTCACCTTGGGCTGCATTGTGAACCCATGTGAAATGCATATGAACCTTCATGTACTTCTTCTTGTGCTCACCATCGGTCCATGACATGTCCATGAAATCCACGAAGCTGCCGGCATTGGAGTGGTCTGCCTGCGTCCTACTGGGAATTTTCTTCGGCAGGTAAGCACAAGCCTCCTTCTCTTTGACATTCACAGCACCGCTCTCACCAATGGATATCTCGTGGCAGGGTGAGGTCACACTGCCAAATCCACAATCCGTGAGGTAGTCGATGAACTCCTTCAGGGTTGCAAGGCCTTTGGTGAAGGGGGGCTTCCAACTCTCCCCGTCAGGGTGGGAGAAGCACGCAACGGAAGCCCCATCTGCAAGCTTGTACGTCAGGATGTCCTTCTTTCCAGCAATCTCCTTGCCGGTGAGAAACTCGCCATGCAAGTCCATGAGGGGCACATCTGTGTTCAGAACCCCGTCGCTCTTGGCATGCAAGTACATTGCATTCTTGGCCGAGAAAACAAGCTCGAACAGCTCAGGCAGCTGGGATTGGATCACGGTCACATGGCCATCTGTCGCCTTGACTTTGTCCAAGCTCTCAAAGGAATCCTCGTCAGGAAACGGCTCCCCCTGAACTTCCTGCACGCTATCTGGCTCTGTGCGCTTGCCTGCCCCTTTGTAAGGAACTCCCGAAGGGTTGTGCTTCGCATTGTGCTTGCTCTTCAGTGCTTCGTATGCTTCCTTGAGTTTGCTGAATTTTCCATCGTACACATCCAAGACGTCTTGGCGGAATGACAAGTGCTTGCCTTCAACTGGAGCCGTAAGCACGTACTCACGTGTGTCGTAGGTGGGAGCCACTCCCTCTGGGGAAAAGTCTTTCAGGACCAGGTTGGGCAGCTTTAGCACGTTCTCCTTGACGTACTTTTCCGTCTGATGGTCAGCAGCCCTTTTCAACCAGTCAGCCATTTTCGATCGCTGGCTGGCCTCATCTGCATACGCCCACACCCCACTGATGACGGCCTCGCGAGGCAGACGACCACTGGGCTCCAGTGCTCTCTGCAAGCATGCTTGAATGAGGCCATGGTCATATGGGAGCAGGTTGGCATAGACTGCCACAGTGAAAGGGCCAGGGGCAAGTCCTTTCCAAAGAGCCTCCTGCACCTTCAGCCAAAGGTCTGGGCCGGAGATGTGTTGCTTGTACTGCTGTGCTTTGCTGAGATTGATGGTGTTCAGCTGGATGGTCACTCCCTGCACTGGGTTCACAAAGTCAGCAACACCCTTGGCCTGGATTCCCATACAGGCACGGTGATGCCACAGCGAGCTATTGGCAAAGCGGCTGAGGAGCTTGCCATTTGCATCTGTAGCCTTGTTCACACACACCCACATGGGATGCACAAGGCTCCGCTTTGTTGAGCCGAACGTCTCTGGAGCGAAGCAAAGCTGAGCTCTCTTCACACTCATGTCATAGGTGTCCTGCCGCAACTGTTGCTCCACATCGTCCTGGGCCTTCTCCACATGCTCGTCCTCGTAGGTGTTGCCGAAGGAGGCAACGTTTGGCCCCACGACCACTGCTACACTCCTGCAGTTGCTGAGGGCTTCAGGGTTAACAACACAATGCATGTCAACAAAGCTGCATAAGCACTGCATTCTTTCAACGCTGTCCTCTCTGCTCCAGCAGCTAGGGCATCTCCCAGAATGCGGCAAACGCGGGCAAGGTAGCGTGAGCAAGAAGATCCGAGGGATGTCAAGTCAGCAGTATAAATGAAATGGATCTCCTCGTGGGACTTGTTCTCTGAATCCGCCCAGTCTGCGCTGCAACTTCGGATGTATGGCATGACAGCATCCTCCCCTGGCAGGGCCTTGCACGGGAATTTCTTCTGGGTGTAATTCGCAACGGCCTCCTCAGGGTAACGAACGAAAGTATTCCAAGTGCACATCATCTACCTCCGCTACTTTCTAATTGTAGCCCTTAGCCCAGTCCTTCAGCTTGGCATCCTGTTCACGACGGAAGCTGCTTTTGGCATCTTTTTGCCCGGCATTGAACTCCTGCAAGGACTGTTGGTACCTCTCCCACAGCTTGACCTCCCTCTCCAACTTCACAGAGAACAAGTTGAGGGCGGCCGTCTCTTGCTGCTCCTCTGCCAATGCCTCCTTGTCTTGAAGCTGCTCCGGCGCAACCGCCACACCGGTGTACACTTGCAAGAAGCGGAAGTTGTCCAAACAAAGGTCCCCATCCATGAGCCTGCATTTCTCTTGCAGCTCCCTGTCCAAGCAGCCTGTCAGGAACAGCCGCTCCAAGTTGATGAAATCCTTGTCCGTCACACGCTTCTTCACATCGTCACTGAAGTGGACCCAAAGGCAACTTGTCTGCCAGGCGAGGATCGGGTCCTGAACCCGAAGCTTGTTTGCCTGGATCTTGGTAGTTTTCTTTGCAGCCTGGCGCTGCACCTTGTTGTTCCGCAAGAACACACCGATGAGGTAGCGCAGTGTGGTGAAGGACTTGAGCGGAGATGGCTCCAGGATTTTGGACCAAATTCCACGA